TATATATATATATATATCACCTCATTTCTGTATAAAAAGCATGAGTTGTTTAATAGTTAAATGTTTTTAGAATTAAGACCGGGTGATTCAAATTTTTTCTTATTTTTTACATGTGATTTATTAAATTTTTAACGAAATACTGATAAAAGATTAAACAATGAATTCCTTATATATATCAAATACCAACTTTTATCTTGTACCACATGATTTTTTTTATGAAAGAATTTTTTTTTAACTTTTATCTTATTAAAATTTTATTTATCATAATTATTTATTAATTAAATTTTAATATTTTAAAATAAAATATAATAAATAAAAAATTATATTATAATATAAATTATTTATCATAAATCTAAAATATAATTTATATATAATTTATTATAAATTTTAATTATATAATATATATTTAACCAGTATATTACACATATTAAAATACTTGTGATAGTGAGAGTATTTGAGACACTTAATTTATTCAAATGAAATATAAATATTAAAATTACACGAATATGATATTCTAAAATAAATTTTATATCTTAAACAAGTTAATCATTAAAGTGGTGTATTTGGCGTGAAAAATTATTTTTCAAACATTTTATAAAAACACATTTCAAGATAATTTCTCTCAATGCTTTCAAAATCAATTGTATCCAATATCCATGTTAGTCCACACTTGAACAATAGGTTAGTATTCGCTCTAATTTTTAGAATCTTCTGGGTCACAAAAATGGGCCACCCATCCTAACTTAATTGGGTATCCACGTTTTTTTCATATATAATATTTTTGGAATCTAAAATAACTTCTTGTTTGATTTATTTTCAATCTGAACTTCGACTTTCCTTCGGGAAAAGCAAAAGAAAGGAATATCCGCATATATTGGAATACTCCGAATTGACTGTCGTTATTAATCACTTAACAAACACTCCAAGTCGTTTCCTACTTTTCTTTTTTATTTTGCTTCTATAATTGCTATTAATTATTAATTACCTAACTATTATTTTAAGTTTAATATAGAATATGTCCTCACCTATTCATTTTTCAAGATCTTCAAATTTATTTAAGAAATTAAATTTTATCCGTAATTTCATATAAATTTAAAATCAAATCATTAATCATATGTTTAGTAGATATAATTATAATTATAATTATTTATAGTCATGAAAAATTATAATCATATTACTATGAAGTGGTGTAAAAAAACTGTATAAAAAAGAGCCTAATGAAAAAGTATAAAAAATTATTATTAGTATAATTTTCAACATAAATATTATAAAAATTAATAAATTTGGCAAGCATAATAATTAATGAATGATTAATGAAAAATGTATAACTCATCTTTTTCCATAAGAAAATATTTGACACACAAATATTCCTAATCTAACATATTAGTTATGGAAAAGAATATGAAAAATATTTAATAAAATAATATTATATTAAATATACAAATTACTTAAATTTTTTAAGTTTTAGTAAATAATTCTTATATTCTAAACATGATTGTTTTTGTAAGAATGTTTTTAATAATTATTATTTGCCAGAAATGTATTTCTAGATTTTTTTTTGCTTTTTATCTAATATAATTTTTTATTTATAATAAAATATTTTTAAAATAAATTATCATTAATTAAAAATAATTTTATGTAGCGATATAAATTATTTGTTTTATAATTTATATTATATATATATAATTTATAAGTTTAATCATATTATTTATTTAATTCTAAGCGTGTGATTCGTGTTTATCCACCTTTAAACAAGATTAGAAATTTGAATTCTACCTTATGTATACAATTAGTTATATGGATATTCTAACGACGAGAAAAAGAAAATATCATATTACTTATTTGTATATTTCACTTTAAGGGAATCCTATGTTGAATGGTATAGATTATGATTATGAACGCTCCTATTAGTGCGTTATTAGAAAAGAGAGAGTGATAACGCGTGGGCCTGTTCTTCGAACTGAGCCTATAAATAAACCCCAAACTCACAGCCCAGAGTTTTCAAGCTCTAAGCCTCCAACGCAGGAGGAGCAATCTATAGTTCCTAAGTTTTCTCCTTCTCCTCAGTTCTCCCTTTCTAGAATCTTCCATTTTTCAACCTTCCACACAACTAACTCACTGAGTTGAGAGCGAGAACGAGTCATGGAATCCAAACCCGGTCAAACAATCAAGCTCCTCTGCAGCTACGGCGGCAAGATACTCCCACGCGCCACCGACGGCGAGCTCCGTTACGTCGGCGGCCACACCAGAGTCCTCACCGTCCACCGTTCCGTTACCTTTTCTGGTTCGTTGCTTTCTCCTTAGCCTCCGTTTTCACTCTCGCGTTTTAATCTTCCTCTGTTTCGTTCGTTAACCGGTTCGGTGTTGTGTTTGCAGAATTGATAGTGAAGCTCGGCGAGTTTTGTGGTTCGTCTGTGATCTTGAGGTGTCAGTTACCCGAGGGAGACTTGGAGACCTTGATCTCCGTCACCAACGACGAAGATCTCGCCAACGTCATCGAAGAATACGATCGCGCCTCGTCCAAGCTCGCGCATCCGTTGAAGATCCGCGCCGTTCTCTCGCCGCCGAAGTCGGTGAAGAAGGCTTCTCCTGCGCCGTCGTCGGCGTCGTCCAGCGCGAGTCACTCTCCGGCCAGATCGCCTCACACCTCTGCCGAATCGCTGCCGTACACGGTGGCGTACCGCATCGGCAGGGGCAAACCGGCGCCGCCC